TACAAAAATAAAATTGGTTTTTTTGATAAAATATAGGAACATTGAGATAAATGTAAGGGTATGTGATAAAATTTCCCTCTATTATTCTCTGCTTGAACCATAATAAAATAACACTTAATAAAATTATTTTTGTTAACTTTGGAATGCCAAGAGAGAAAAAGTAAAATGGAATAAACTCATTGTATTATTCTGCTTTTGGAATGTACAAGACAGTACTATATATACTGTTAAGTAACAAACCACCAAAGTTAACTAAACTGAATTATTTGCATCATGTAATAGCCCCCCACAAGTTGGACTATGGATGTCTAATAGACCAAGCTTGGAAACAAGAGAATCGAAAGAGGGAGCTGCCAAAGGCTTGGTGAGAACATCTGCCAATTGAGCAGCAAAAGAAACTGGTAAAAGGTGGATGAGACCAGTTTGGATTTTCTCACGAATGACGTGGCAGTCAATTTCGATATGTTTTGTCCGTTCATGGAAGGTGGGGTTGTGAGCAAGGTAGATAACACTTTTGTTGTCACAATAGACTGAGCTAGGTTGATCAAAGGAGATGTGGAGATCCTTGAACAAATACTGCAGCCATTGCAATTCATAAGTCAAGCTTGCCAAGGCCCTGTATTCCGCTTCTGAACTTGATTTGGATACTGTAGACTGCTTTTTGGATTTCCAGGATATGAGGGAATTGCCAAGGAACACACAATATCCAGTTACGGATCTGCGGGTAGCAGTTGCCCAATCTGAGTCTGCGAAGCCAGAGAGTTTGAGTGGAGAGGAAGATGAATAGAACAAACCCTTGGCAGGAGCACCTTTGAGATACTTGAGGACTCGAATTGTTGCAGAATGATGAACTTGCATAGGATGTGAGATGAATTGGATGAGATGTTGAACGGTGAATGCAAGGTCAGGTCTGGTGGTAGTCAGATATATAAGTTTTCCAACAAGCCTTCGATAAGCTGTGACGTCTTCGAAAGGTGGTGAGTTATCATCATGAAGCTTCAAGGAGGAATCGAAGGGAGTAGAGCAAGGTTTAGTGGCCAATAAGCCACTGTCTTCGAGCAATTCCAAAGCGTACTTTCTCTGATTGAGAAAAATGCCGTGAGTTGATCTGGCAACTTCTAGACCAAGAAAATATTTTAGCCTACCAAGGTCCTTGATTTTGAAAGTGGAATCAAGGAAGCTTTTGACATATTGGATTTCCTGCAAATCATTACCGGCTAAGACAATATCATCAACATAGGCTAATAAGGCAGTAAAAGAAGAGTCATGTGATTTTGTGAAAAAAGAATGATCAGCAGAAGAATATGAGTAGGCAAGAGAGATAAGGGCAGTGGACAATTTCGAAAACCACTGTCTGCTAGCCTGGTTCAGGCCATATAATGACTTATGCAATTTGCAAACTTTGTTGGTCGAAGAAGTGCAAACTTTGTTGATCGAAGAAGTGCAAACTTCGTTGGTCGAAGAAGTGCAAACTTCGTTGGTCGAAGAAGTGCAAACTTTGTTGGTCGAAGAAGTGAAAACTTCGTTGGTCGAAGAAGTGCAAACTTCGTTGGTCGAAGAAGCAGGGGGCAGGAATCCAGGAGGCAGATCCATATACACTTCCTCATGTAGATCACCATGAAGGAAGGCATTGTTGACGTCGAGTTGTTCCAAGTGCCAATTCTTAATGGCAGCCACTGAGAGAAGGGTTCGAATAGAAGTAAGCTTCGCAACAGGTGAGAAAGTGTCGAAATAATCCACACCCTCCAGCTGAGTATATACTTTTGCTACCAAACGAGCCTTGTATCGTTCGATGGATCAATCAGCATGATGCTTGATTTTGTAGACCCATTTGCAACCAATCGATTGTTCGCTTGCAGGAAAATCAACAACAGACCAAGTATTTGTAGATTCAAGAGCATCTAACTCAGATTTCATAGCATTGTTCCAACAATCAAACTTGCAGGCTTATTTATAGGTTTTGGGTTCTGTGAAAGAGCTTATGGACAGACAAAATAATTTGTGATCAGGACTACATTGGCTATAAGATAATACAGAAGAGAGAGGGTAGTTAGAGGAACCTGAGTCAGATGCTGGCAGCATGGGGGATAGCAAATTGCAGTGATAATCAGATAGATAAGCTGGAGGTTTAATGTTTCGATTGGATTTTCTGGTTGGCACATGAGGGGAGGGGCAAGGGGAGTTGTTAGTGTCATTTGAGGAAGAAGAGAGGTTAGTGGGAGAATCTGGCTGGGGGGGAGAGGTAGGAGATGAAGGTCCATTTGATGGTGGAGGTGAGATGGGTGGAATGTTGGTGAAAATATCAGGTGAATCAAGGGGAGGAGGGTCAAGAGTAGGAATTATAGGATTAGGTGCAGGTGGGATGGATGCAAAAGGGAACACAGTTTCATAAAAGAATACATTCCTTGAAATGTAAAATTCATGTGTGATAGGATCATAGAGAAGGTAGCCTTTTGTGCCTTCCCTGTAGCCAAGAAAAATAGATTTCCTTGCTCTTGGTTCGAATTTAGTGCGATGGTTAAGCAAGGTCGAAGAATAGGCAAGAAAACCAAAGACTCTCATATGGTTAAGGCTGGGAGGAGTAGAATGGAGTTTTTGGTAGGGAGAGTGGTTGTTTAAAAGAGGAGTGGGAAGACGGTTTATAATATGAATGGCCTGTTGTATGGAAAGGTGCCAAAGGTTGTGAGGGAGGTGAGAGTGGAAAGAGAGGGCACGGGCAACATTCAAAATGTGCTGATGTTTTCTTTCCACTATACCGTTCTGTTGAGGCGTTTCCACACAAGACCTTTGATGAATGATTCCTTTAGAAAGGTAGAAAGTGGTAATGAGAAACTCAGGACCATTATTACTACGAATGCACTTGAGTTTCTTGTTAAATTGAGTTTCGATAAAAGATATGAAGTGAATTAAATGGTTTATGGTTTCACTTTTGTTGGCCATAAAAATTGTCTAAGTAAACCTGCTGTAATCGTCTACGAGGGTTAAAAAATACTTGTGGCCACATATGGAAGGTGTGGAAAGAGGGCCCCAAATATCGACATGAAGTAAATCGAAGATGGCAACAGACTTAGTATTACTGTGAGTAAATGGCAAATGTTTTTGCTTAGCCAAATGGCAAGTATTACAGGGCTTATGATTGTCATTGTAGGTGACAAAAGGAAATTGAGAGGAAATACATTTGTGTATGTAAGGACTTAAGTGTCCAAGCCTAAGATGCCAAATAGTAGCAGGATCGTGTTTAGCAGGTTCTAATTGGGGAGAAGAGGAGGTGTTGACAGAGCCAGATATGGGAGAGACGGCCTTAGGTGGGGTGGCATCAAGAATATACAATTTGCCAATCCTCCTAGCTGTAAATCCAGTCATCTTGGATTGGGACAACTGCATAATTTGACAGCAATTAGGGGAAAATTTCACATTATATAAAGTGGAGTCAAAAAGAGTGGTGACAGAGATAATATTGACATGAAATGAAGGAAAGTAATAAACATTATGAAGGACAAGTGAATCACATAGTAAAACTGAACCAGCAATAGTTGTAGTGACAGAGTCACCATTAGGCATTGTCATAGATTTAGGTGCAATGTGGTATGTGGAAAGGAAACTGGCAAAGATATGGGTGATGTGATCAGTGGCACCTGTGTCAATGATCCACCAGTTATGATAAGGAAGATTTGAGGAATTCTTACCAGAGGAAGTATGAGGAGAGGTATGGAACACAGAATTAGCAGTATAAACTGAATTAATCGAGGGAGGTGAAGGAGATTGCAAATTAGACTGTTGGAGGAGCTGCAGAATCTGAGTGTATTGCTCTTGAATCGTAGACAAAGCAGTTGGACTGGTGTTTGATGTGGAAGCAGAGGAAGATAATGCCTCAAGTTGAGGAGAAGCAGCATCTTGAATCGAGTTCACTGTAGAATCAACAGAATTCCCCACAGATGTAGTAGGCTTGCGTTGTTGAAATCCAGGGGGATATCCATGTTTCATGAAACAAGTCTCAATGGTGTGATTGGTGCGGTTGCAATGAGTACAGAGTCGGTTTCCACGGCCACCACGGCCACGACCACGACCAGGGTTGTGAGAAGAACGAGAAGGTGCTTGAGAAAGGTGATTCACAGACGATTGAGACTCAATTGAAGAAGCAGAAGGTGAAAGAAGGTTGAATTGACGTTCTTGTTGAAGAACCGGATTAAACACATTATCAAGAGTTGGTAGTGGGGTCATCAACATAATCTGCGAGCGAACATGAGCGTATTGGTCACCAAGGCCCTTCAAGAACTTGATAACTTTATCTTGTTCTTTGAATTTGCGTAAGTCTGAAGCAGCACCACAGGAGCACGGTATAGCGCAAGTACAATCACGAATTGGCCGAAAGTTCTCGATTTCTTCCCAAAGCGTCATCAATTTCGTGAAGAACGAAGAGATATCGAGAGTTCCTTGTTGAAGACGAGCAACAGTTTCTTGAATGTCAACAATGCGAAAAATATCTCCCTGAGAAAAACGATTTTCCAAACTTTTCCATACAAGAGAAGCATGATCATACCAGAGAAGAGATTTTGCAATTTCCTCAGAAATCGAGCGTTGAAGCCATGAGAGGACGAGATTGTTGCATCGCAGCCAAGGTTCGTATAGAGAGTCGGAGATAGGCGGAGGAGAAAGAGTGCCATCAACGAACTTGATCTTGTTCTTGGAGATAAAAGCCACTTTCATCGATCTAGATCAAATCTGGTAGTTCTTGGTATCAAGAACAAGTTGAACAAGAACAAGAGAGGGATTCTCATTAGGATGCATGTAGTAAGGATTGGAAGGATTGGTAGCAAAATCAGAGTAAGGAAGCGCCATAATCAAGCTGATGCAGCAAAGGAAGAAGAAGGCGCGAAGGCGCGAAGAAGAAGAAGGCGCGAAGAAGATGAAAGGAAAAAGAAAGGCGCGGAAATGAAATTTCAAACTGATACCATGTTAACTTTGGAATGCCAAGAGAGAAAAAGTAAAATGGAATAAACTCATTGTATTATTCTGCTTTTGGAATGTACAAGACAGTACTATATATACTATTAAGTAACAAACCACCAAAGTTAACTAAACTGAATTATTTGCATCATGTAATAATTTTAGTTGAAAGATTGGTTACACATAATTCTCTGTTTTTGAAATATAAATATTTTTTTTTTAGATTTGAGAGCTCCTCCTGTACATTTTTGTGCTACAAATTCCTTTATGAACACAAGTTTCCAAACCTCCCAAGCTCATATATTCATCTCAACATTATCAGAAACAATCGGAACGCTAGACCACAAAGTCCTTGACCCAACCTTCACAAAATGCATGGATAAAATCTTGAGTTATCTGCTTCAAAGGTTTCATCACAATTAGAAGTTTGAAGGCATGACAAGTGTGGCTATCATAAAAGATTAACCAGACAAAGTAACTGTGGCGATAGAGAGCGGTCGAAAAAGATATAATTACAGACGGATGTTGGACGACTGTGAAGGAAAACAACAATAGAGAAAAATATCAGGATCAATGCATCTGTGACATGATTGTTTGTTGTAAAAATAATCATCAAAAGAAAGCTACCATGTGTTTCATAATTCATTTCTTACAATGGATCTTTAATTTCAGCCGCCGGATTTATCTACGGCTTAGAAATGAAAGGAAGGAAAACTAATGAGGCGACACGGGAATGTTCCGAAAATAACTTTAAAAGAATAGACAGAACAGAACCATATTAACACAGGATACCCGACAACAGGTTGAAATTAGGAGATTGAAAGACCCATCCATAGCAGAAGTCTTCGCGGTCGATCAAGAAACCTGGCCTGCCATGCAGGTTCATCACTCTCGTAGATAAACCCACTCTTCATGTACAATTTCTTTGCTGGTTCATTGTCAACGGCAACATGGACATATAAATCTGTTATGCCTGAAAAACACAAAGGAGTAAATTTAGCCACTCTTTGGCTTAAGAAATGTAGAAATAGATCATACAGAATCTGGTTGGTAGACATTACAAAGTTACAACAGTTGATCAAAATCGGACATGCAGTTTTCTCTTAGATGGTAGACGACCTTAACCCATTAAAGAAATTATAAACATCAAGACACGATGTATGTTTAACAACGCGAGGAATCTGAAATGAGCAAACTTAACTAGAGCAATCTCGTCAGTTAATATCTACAACAACAAAAAATTGGATTCTTCGTCTGCAAATCCTAGCTCAACTGACAGAAGCCAATATTGCTAGGCTAGACGTCATGACCATACTCACGGTTGTGTCTGTGAGTTTCTAGTGGTTATTATCACTTCGTCTACATACAAAAAAAAAAAAACTGGCGTCTTTCCTTCGATACTTATGATAGTTAACATACTATTTACAGAAAAACTAAGTATAGCAGTTTAGTGCTACATCATTTCTTACCCCAATTACGAGCAACTAACTTTGACTTTTCAAGAAGTTCATAGGCCAACCCATTTCTATGCAACTCTCTAGCAACACACACATTACTGAGGTACGCCCTTGTCGTATCAGCTCCATTGACCTGACAGTTAAACATTAAACATTAAACAACTTGATGGAAGAAGCATTATACAAAATTGTCATCAATCACTATAGAAGAGCTATCAATTTTCGTATCAAGACTTGAGCATCCAAAGCAAGCCACGACATATAAACACACACATACGCGCACCCACTTCATATTTTAGGCCGTGTTTGCATAAACAACTTAATCAATAAGTTATAAGCTGTTTTATTTTCATAAGCTATTCTAAAGAGTTTATAGAAATGAGCATAAAACAAGAGGTTTCCATAAGCTCTCCCAAATGCTTATGCCAATAGATAAACTCAAAGAAGCTAATCCAAACCGGCCCTAAAAATCTCGAATACATGAAGAAAAAAAAATACCTTTGGCTTCATCCCTACAATTTCATCAGGAAGACTCAAGCACTGATTAAGATCAAGAGAACCAACTAGTACCCTGTCTTCTCCAGAAGCAGAAAACTACAAAAGTTCAACTAAAACACAGTTAATTTTCTTAAGAAACAATAAACCAAAGACCAACAAACAAATCTAGGAAATAAACAAACCTTACATGAAGAACATAAATCATCATAGATGCTAGATATATGAGACACCGGAAGAGAAGCATTTATGCAAGAGACTCTTCTAAAACCCATCTTCTTCCCTGAAATACGCTCTTTCAATGCTTCAAACTCACGCTCAGCCAAGTACTTGGCATGATCCTAACACAACTTGACAAACACGAAAAACGCTATAAAGTTGACTCTTTTATCACAATTCAAGCATACCCATTGCAATTCAAAGCTAACAACAAGAAATCTAGCTGAAATTGAAAGAATAATTGGAGTGGAAAACTAACTCACTTGGACCCCATAAGTGTCAGGACGGAATTGATTGAAGGAACGGACACGGAGGGAGGAAGCTGCCCAGAGTTCATCGTCGTAGAAAGATTCGGCGATGGTGATCAAAGAGGTGTCGATTTTTTGGGTGCAGATGTTTGTGGAAGAAGCGAAAGATTGGATTTGAGTTCTGAGGTTGTGATTTGAGAATGTTGATGTGGAATTTGGAAAGGTGGAAGAAGGGTGAATTGGAGGGAAGGAACAGAGGGAAGAAATGAGAGTCATTTTTGTTCGGTGTGTGTTGTTGGATTATTCGTGGTTGCATCTGCATCTTGTTCTTGTTTTTGATAACTCTTTTGTTTTTATTTCTTTATATAGCTTCTATATTTTTTATTTTATCTTCTTGTTATTCTTTTTAAAGTTTAATTGTATTGCATGGTCAACTTAAGAAGTATTATACATACATTCGATCAGAATATTTTAAATTATTATATATAAGTAATTTAAAATTTATAGTCCGATTTGATAAAATATTGATTGTTATTGATTGACAGTATAAAATTAACTTAGACCGACAATCTAATAAGAAGTTGCAAAAACCCACTAGAGAGAAAAAGAAATCCATTTTACTTAAAGACTTTTAATACTAAATAGGGGCGCAGTTAGACTTTTGCTCTAGTCATAATTTTATGTATTGTCTTTTGATTGGTCTACGGTCTAATTTAGTATTAAGAGACTCTATTATTTATTGTATGATCTTTGTTATTGAAGGGTAATGAAATGTGGAAGTTATTTCTTATGTTTTATCTTCTTATACAACTCTAGATCTACTTTTAGTCTTAGTATAGTTTAACATTAGTGCTTTTAATCCTTGCTCTCATGGCTTCCCCCAAACCTACCAGCCCTTCATCTCGTGAAATTGTTAAAGAAGTTGTTCAAACTGTTGATCAAACTGTCCACATCCACCTTGATAATGTTATGAATCAAACCCAACAACAAATGGGTGAATGATTTGACAAAGCCATTGTAGATTTGTAGTAGTATATTGGACAGATTCATACAAGACTGGACAACAACAAATAGATTTCTGACTCTAGATATGAGTCTATCATGTTCGTCCTCACCAAATTGGCAGATCAACGCGAACACCCACAGTCTACAACTGTTCATATAGCTGTTAGCTCTTCAGGTATAACTCAAACTCTGTCATTTATTCCTACACTAAATACCCATGTCTCCCTTGTTGTAACCCCTACCAACACACCACAAAGACATTCAGTTGTTTTTTCACAAACCCCTACTATTCCTACAGCCATTAGAAATTATGTTGCACAACCACCACCACCCTACCCACCTTACTTCGTTGCCCCAACTGCTTTTACAACTTCTCCACCACACTATAACATTCCTTTTACAATAAGTTTTGTACCCACACATTTCCCAATTGCCTCTGTTACCCCCTTTTCGAACCCCAAAATTGGAACTTCCCTTGTTTGATGGTTCAGAGCCATTAGAATGGTTATTTCAAGATGATCAATTTTTAATTTTTATCAGTTACCACAAAAAAATCGATTATCCTTGATTTCATTTTATATAAAAGGTGATGCTTTAGGCTAGTTTAAGTGGATACACCAGAATCAATTATTGTCAGATTGGTTCTCTTTCACAAGAGCTTTAGAATTACGTTTTGGTCCTTCAACTTTTGACAATCATCAAACTGAACTATTCAAATTAAAACAAGATGGTTCTGTTGTAGATTATCAAACAAAGTTTGAGAAATTAGGTAATCAAGTTGTTGGATTGCCTCAAGAGGCAATTTTAAATTGTTTCATTTCTGGTTTATCAACTGATATTCACAACGAATTGGTAATTCTTAAACCAGTTAACATATCACAAGCCATTGGTCTTGCCAAATTGATTGAGTCTAAACTTAAAATATGCCAAGCCCAAATTCTCAAAACCTTATTCCCTTTACACTAAATCTAATAACAATTACACCACTCCCGCAGCAGTAAAAACTCCTACTACAGTTCCCACACAAGGGCCTTTACCATCCAAAAACCCAAACCCCCCAGCCCCTACGACTACCCATTAAACGCTTATCACAAGCCTAATTACAAGAGATAAGGGCCCAAGGATTGTGTTTTAATTGTGATGAGAAATTTATCATCGGACACAAATGCTTAACTAGTAAATGTCTCCTACTTTTGGCTGAAGAAGACTCGATGGAACTTGATAACTATGTCGAAGATATCGTTGAACCAGAAATCGAGACAGACCCGAGTGATACATATTTCCAATTGTCAACTCAAGCATTAACTAGTCAATCCCCCGCCCTCAACACTCAAGTTCAAAGGCAAAATTGGTGGCCTATCAGTCATGGTTTTGGTAGATATAGGTAGCACACATAACATTATGCAACCTCACATTGCTCACCACCTATACCTAAAGACTACCACAATTCCTCAATTTTCTGTTATGGTAGGAAATGGATCCCATCTACAGTGTGAAGGATTTTGCAATAATGTTTGAATTATCCTCAAATACAAACCATTCCACCTTCCCTTTTACCTATTTCCAATTGAAGGAGTTGATGTTGTTCTAGACATGTCTTGGCTCCACACTTTAGGCTAAATTCAGGCTGATTTCTCCATCCAATTAATTACTTTTACACACAACGGTTCATCCATGACCTTACAGGGTGATCTCACCTCTGAACTAATGCACACCACTTTCCACCAACTCCGCCACTCATCCATACTAACTTAGTTTCTTCACTATATCTATTGATATTTCAACCCATTGAGGCTACCCCAAACTCCATGACCAAACCAATACTTCTATTTTAGAGACCTGACCTCCCCCCTGAACTTTCTAACCTCTTATAGAATTACAGAACAATTTTTTAAACCCCAAGTGACATTCCCACAACCAGACCCCATGACC